TTTGATAAGGAAATCCCCTCCGTTCACGTTTAACTGGATGAAGATCTAATAATTACTATTGCCATCTACTTTATAACAGTTTTAATATTTCCGTTTTGAGTTATATACATATATAAGTAACAGTACACCACCCAATGCAAGACGTATGAGATCATCGGTGGGAGAAAGAATTTGGGGATGAAGAGGCAGGTAATTGTCAAATTTGCATTTTTCTGGGATAGAAATACAGTCTGAGAAATGAAACATCCGAAAAACAAACGGCACAATCCGTCTATCTCAACGAGGACATGGCAAGTTAGAAACAAGTTATATAAGAGTCATTTGAAAAACCTGACTATGTACATGGCACATGACGACAGGAGGTATCTGAATATCACATATGTGAACAGCCTGAGGAATTAAATTCCTTTAGTTATGAATCAGTCCAAGGTGTATGCAACCGACGATAAAATCCCAGAGTTTCCATAATCTTAAAATATCCAAAAACAGTCAGTTTGTGATAAATGATACTATCTGATTTAAGTCTATTCTATTAATCATGTTCTAATTTCTACTGGTTGATATTTCAAACTGAGTAACTGTTTGAACCATACACTGGATTTGCATATGCATCAGATTCTATAGCACTTTGTATATGAAATCTAAACGATGTACATTCATTAAGAAAGACTACTGATCGTATGATGTAGCACACATACATGGTATTTACATCAGATTATTGTCATTATTTACATAGTAGTGAACAAAATGAACGTTAAATATCTACACAATAAATATGTCCAATGTTACAGGTAAATCACTGACCTAAGTTATATGACATATTTGTGTGACAACGAGGTTTTCATAATCACTTTCAATATAGATTCAGAACGTCAGTGCAATAAAAATACCCAGTCTTGACTATCCCCGGGAACAAATTCCGTTTGGTGTAAAGGACAACTATAGCTGTGAAAACAATATGAATGAATCACTGAACATCAGTGATGATAGTAGGTTCGCGTAAAGGGTAAGCATGTCCTGATCTAGAGGGAGCACCCGCCATTCACAAAATGTCCCTAAAAATGGAAGTATGTTTTGCACGTTTTGCATCTCATTACACCTGCTATGCGATGGCGGTCTGTAAAAAAACGGACAATCAAGTGACCGAATGACTGAACAATCCAGTCAGATAATTTAGAATTACGAGTACTGTGTAGAAGTACAGAGATTCCAATGCTTATAAGAAATAGATTTGTTTCACAATAACTGGGGGTCATTTGAGAAATGTTTGTTTGGGTACATCACATCATTTTAAATGTTGATTGGCACAAAACGTAGTCCTGGAGACGAAGTCCGCAGGAAATATGTTCTTTGTCCGAGAACATCACCAGCAAGAATGGATCTCTGGTGTGGATTCTGGTTTGTTCTACTTCCGGCTCTTTGCTGCCGGCTACGAGTTAGACTATCTACAGGGGACCTTTCGAAATATCACCTAAATACTCTCCCTATAGATTACAGGGGTCTCACGCGGTCGATGCACATTTATCCATCATATGACATTGCATAAAAGCCATGGTTCTCGTCTTCACTCTGGAACTTTAGTCTTTGTGTTCTCCTATTTTTCTAGGACACCCACACACACTTCGGCTGTCTTATTTGATAATAATACAAGTTTACGTTTGAATAATTCCAGTACTGTTTCCTTGTGGTATGTACATTGGTCTTGTGATCCCCCATCAATTATGTTGCAACACAAACAGCATGATGGTACAAATCGAACTTGCTATACATGTGGGTATCGACATTATACAAGATCGTGTGCCACTAAGAAGTTATCATGTTAAATTACAACCATGCACTAGCATGGCTAGCTATAAGTGAATAATGAGACTCCATGTGAAAGAATTCAATCAATAATGTTCTTGGGTGAATTACAAACAATGTACATACACTCTGTGCCTCTGTATCTACAACCAGATAAAGGGAACTCAACCCAATCAACTGATCAGCAATTCTGGACATATACATGGGGTGGATTAACTTTACTTCACTGTTTTACTATAGTACAAGTGTGATGGTTTACTTGTTCATTTCATAATTTATATGCATATTTATATGCATAAATTATGGTTAACGTTAATAAGAAGTTAGTGTGTTACTGGTATACGTTGTCCGTCCCTCGTGCATAATTAAGTAAACACTCCTATAAAATATTTGCCTTCGTCTCACTGACTCTCATTTGCATGATATAATCCATAAACTTATTACGATCCCTTGAGAGAAATGCTTTTGGTGGTAGGTATTATGTACATGAGGCATAAGCAACTGACTGTTTTTGTAAATGTCCGTCATGAAGCTATACAAATATATCTGTCACAAAATCAGTACAGCTGTGGTAAAATCAGTACAGCTGTGGTGTTGTGTAAGTTATACAAACCTGAATATCATAAGAAACATCAATTGCCTTGGCGATAGTACAGACTCGATAATACCCTCGCGTGAATGATTGGTTATACACGAAAAATGTTACTATATGACAAATGAACTTGCAATGATTTCTATAAGAAAGACTTCTACTACACTTGACCATATAACTCTAAATGTCGATGATTGATTTCCACTGATTACGGACCATAGGGGAACGTATATATTAGTGAAATCACATTGATAAACCAAATCAACATTTCCTGAAGATACTCGTATACTGTTTTACATCTTACAGAAGCGGTGAATATGGCAAATTTTAATATATATACATACATTTGAAATTATCAACTAAGGGAACGTTCATAATTTATGGCTGGGGGTGGATGTGGGTTGGGGGTGGGTTGGGGTGGGGTGTGATGATGATTTGTACAATGTGAATGACCCCCTAAACTTTATGTACAAAGTAAGTGACCCCCACCCTCCCTCCTTCTCATAATGTTTTAAGCATAATTTAAAAATATTTTTATGTACAAAATTGCTGACCCCTCTCGTGCATGTGTACAAAATTGATGACCCCCGTACGTCCCCAGAACAAAATGGGTGACCACCCTTTAAAATCATCATCATCACCCCACCCCCGAGCCATTATTTATGAACGGTCCCTTTTTTAACTGAACGTCCATTCTAAAATTACATACAGATACGGGTATACATATAAATCTTTGAATGTTTTACTCAAATTTGTATCTGTCTAGCCAATGGAAATGTTATGCCACTATTCGAAACTATAGACTAATATCTTTGATTATCTGTCTCTGGATACTCTTCGAACGAGTTGTGTTCAAGCACTTGCACAATTATTTTCATGAGAATTCATTATTGTACCTATTTGAAGCCTTTTGCCAATAAATAGAATTATTTCTTCTAGTGTGCAAGGCAGTCGATAGCAAAGAGTTCGATTGTGTGCGATTGGGATATTACTTTCTGTGATATTACAAAAACATATCTGACAGAGTAGGGAACAGCGGGTTTATATATAGATTGAAAAGTTATGATTAAAACTGCGAGTTTTGCTTGAGCAGCTTGCTGATTAGCAAAAAAACTTTAAACCTGTGTGTCTCTTTAGTAATACATTGACTGATATTGAAGCTTCAAAATGTGTGGTGCCGAGAGAAAGGGATCGGTACTTGGTCCGATCCTATTATTACTATCGGGCTAATTATTCAAAACATCAGATGCCCCAAAAAATGTCTTTCAAAATGAATGAGCTCAAGACTGGGTTATAATATATACTCCACGCATAAGCAACTGACTGTTTTGTAAATGTCCGTCATGAAGCTATACAAATATATCTGTCACACAAAATCAGTACAGCTGTGGTAAAATCAGTACAGCTGTGGTGTTGTGTAAGTTATACAAACCTGAATATAATAAGAAACATCAATTGCCTTGGCGATAGTACAGACTCGATAATACCCACGCGTGAATGATTGGTTATACACGAAAAATGTTACTATATGACAAATGAACTTGCAATGATTTCTATAAGAAAGACTTCTACTACACTTGACCATATAACTCTAAATGTCGATGATTGATTTCCACTGATTACGGACCATAGGGGAACGTATATATTAGTGAAATCACATTGATAAACCAAATCAACATTTCCTGAAGATACTCGTATACTGTTTTACATCTTACAGAAGCGGTGAATATGGCAAAATTTAATATATACATACATTAATGTCCTTCTCATAATGTTTAAGCATAATTTAAAAATATTTTTATGTACAAAATTGCTGACCCCCCTCTCGTGCATGTGTACAAAATTGATGACCTCCGTACGTCCCCAGAACAAAATGGGTGACCACCCTTAAAATCATCATCACCCCACCCCCCGAGCCATTACTTATGAACGGTCCCTTTTTCTAACTGAACGTCCATTCTAAAATTACATACAGATACGGGTATACATATAAATCTTTGAATGTTTTACTCAAATTTGTATCTGTCCTAGCCAATGGAAATGTTACGCCACTATTCGAAACTATAGACTAATATCTTTGATTATCTGTCTCTGGATACTCTTCGAACGAGTTGTGTTCAAGCACTTGCACAATTATTTTCATGAGAATTCATTATTGTAACTATTTGAAGCCTTTTGCCAATAAATAGAATTATTTCTTCTAGTGTGCAAGGCAGTCGATAGCAAAGAGTTCGATTGTGTGCGATTGGGATATTACTTTCTGTGATATTACAAAAACATATCTGACAGAGTAGGGAACAGCGGGTTTATATATAGATTGAAAAGTTATGATTAAAACTGCGAGGTTGCTTGAGCGGCTTGCTGATTAGCAAAAACTTTAAACCTGTGTGTCTCTTTAGTAATACATTGACTGATATTGAAGCCTAAAAATGTGGTGTGAGAAAGGGATCGGTACTTGGTCCGATCCTATTATTGCTATCGGGCTAATTATTCAAAAACATCGAATGCCCCAAAAAATGTCTTTCAAAATGAATGAGCTCAAGACTGGGTTATAATATATACTCCACGCATATGCGAAATCGAAGTTTTTGTAATAAGAGAGCCGCATCGAACTATTTTTGATTATAACCACACGGAACATGTCAAAACACACAAACGCCGTGGTGGTTATATTGTCATCAGGGAAGTGATCATGCCATGATCATTCAATCATTTACACTCCATCACAGATGAAAGAAGTAAGCTTGAATTTATGCTTAGTCGTACATTGTTACACAATATCTATTTTTATAACATGACATATTGAATATTCCTCTGAAGTTAGGGACGGTTGTCAGAAACAGCAGGGAGACAGATCATACAAACTTGGTGTAGAAGGAATTGTCTCTGGTTTAGCAAGCTATACGTCTGAGGCGTATAAAGTTTTCAGATGTGTGAATTATCGTGTATACGACTCTCTATCAAATTGTGGAATACAATAACATTTACCAAGGAAATTTCGTGCGTTCTCTCGGTTTAAAACCATTTTAAGAAAGGTTCTAAATTTCCAGCATATGGTGCCTGGGACTAAAAATAACTAAAACCGTAACAAACAATCATAGATAGAAAACAAAGTTTCAACTTCAAAAATGGTAATTCATATGAAACTTGATGTACCTTTTTCATCAAGATTCCATTGTTTCAGATGACCGAGAAACGAATTAAAACTTCTACAAGTGTTAATTTTACAAAAAACATGTGATGTTAATATTGGTTTTGTATAAGTTGGCAATGAAGCTTTACCTAATCATGTCAGCGAAAGCATCTTTCTAATGTACATACAAAAGAAAAGGCTTTGAGTGAGCAATTATTATGTGGCTACAAAACCTTTAGTAGATGATGGTGTGACATCCCCTACTACACCGGTGGAGGTTGTTTATATCCCAGTCTAGCTAGATTACCCACAGACCACAGTAATACAGCGGGGATATTGTTAGAACAGTTAGCAACTCAGGCAGGGTTCTGATCTGAGAGAACGTTAATTATGATGAATGTATAGCAATGAATGTTCACACATTGTGACAATTCTAACACTATGTACATCTAAAGTGAAAAGCATTTTGACCAGTTAAAGGTAAACTATTCACCTCTATAATATTGTGTGCGCACATAGTACAAGTGGTCAAGTGCTTAGGGCATACTACCAACAGTGGATGGCCACCACCACACACTGAATCTAACATGATCCGTTCAGTATATAACAATGCTTACATGTATTCACGTTGTACCAATAACGTCGTTGGAACGAAAAAAATATTGAACTTTCGTGTTTGTCGTTTCGATTTGAGCTTTTACTATTCTTCGGAAATATATAAAAGTTCGCACCAACTATTACTTTTTGCTATCACAGTTTCTTCTTCTCCACCGTCATCATCATCATCATTATCATCATCGTCGTCATCAAAATCAGAAATCGCAAGCACCAAACTGAAATTGCATTTTTGATAACACGTTTCTCTTTCAATGACATTTGTATGAATACACAATGCCGTATAGAAAGTGGTCATATGCAACATATGCTGTACGTTGAATTACACTTTCTCAGTAAAGTACATAACCCACACTCTGAGAGTGCGGCACCTAATCGCCAGCACACATAACATGTCAGTTACATCAGTCAGTCAGGAACATTAGCCTTCCTACGATCACATATCGTTGTTGGCTGTGTAACTTATCAAACATATTTGAGATGAGTATGGTTTGTTGTTTTCCTTTTTCCTCTCCTCGACGCCATTTTCAAGATTCATAGGCTCTATTTTATTCTGGCTGTTTTCTCTCTCCGGCATCTTCCCATCGATCATCTGACGGTTGCTTCCGATGTTGTGTTCCACGAAGTCCGCTCCTAGCAGTTCGTCCTCTGGGGTCAGTCTCAGCCCCACAGTCAGATCGATGATCTTGAGGAAGAAGAATGAAACTAGCGCAGACCACGCAATGAGGGTTACTGCTGCCAGAAGTTGTACTCCAATGAGGTAGAACCCTCCGCCCTGAAAACGTAGCAGAAAATATCCAATAAAGATCAAGGTCTTTTGAAATTTCCCGTTATTTTCCAAAACGTGAAATCGTTTACCCTGCACATGCACAGTGGACAGGATTGAAAACGCACGATACGCATTTTCGCTGTCAACAAGAATGGTAACGAGATATCACATTAACTAACTCTAAAATATATTTTCGAACAGTAAGTACGCCTGTGTTTTGTCGGTGAATATTTTAATAAAATCTTCTGGGAATGTTGGATTTTTGGCTGGTTGGTTTGTTGTTTAACGCCGAACTCAGTAATATTCCAGCTATATATATCTGTAAATAATCGAGTCTTGGCTAGACAATCCAGTGATCAAGAGCATGAGCATGGATCTACGCAATTAGGATGCGATGATATGCTGTTGTGCGTAAGTGGCAAAGGGAATTCTGAAAACTGTGTCACATTTAAGACCAAACATTGACAATGTTACCAGCAAATATAGACACTTTCATGGATGCTGGAGGGAATTAAGTCGTTTGGGTTTCTAATGGTATTATCACTCGAATATAAAATAGTTTACTGAGGTGAATGTAAGATGATTCTGTAATTACATCAAATATTCTGATACACTTTGTGCAAATGAAGGAAGTACTTACTCGAAATGTAACACTCAACTTCGTTAAAATCTATAATACACAGACTGTGTATGGATAGATGAAACTTAAGAGATATAGAGAAAAGAAATACAATTAAATGTTATTGAGAAAGTGATAAATAAAAATAATAATTCTGCCATTTAGAAAACAGGACATACGTTAGCCTGGTGAGTAGTGGCATATTTACAGACATGGTTGCAAACATTGTAATAGCAAATGAACCAGTGAAACCAGCAGATAGAACAAATCTAACTGACCCTAACGATATACATTGTATGTACCCCCAAATACTTGTTGTTAGTTATGTAAAAGTAATATAGAAAAAGAAACAGATCTTGAAGAAACTGTATTCGCTGTAAAAATATGACAGAAAAAGTACGCCTTCCGATCCTCCAGCAATGATACAGGAATTCCGCGAAATCATTCCTCGTATATGGAATACGTTTAGGGGCGGGAGATAAAGGTGGTAGGCGCGGATCAATGCACCACGTGGACACACTCACTATTGACCATGTGAACTTGCTTGTCACCCCATCATGTATTGTGGCTTTTCTAAATTTTATATACTGTTGGCCGTTACCATATCTTGGAACATGGGCTTTTCCATTCAATAATATGGTACTTGCGGAAGTAAAGATTCTATTAGCTGTTTGTTCACTACAATAACTTTTGCCTTGCCATGAGCAAATATTTCACTACAATTTGGGGGTACATGTCAAAGTATTTCAGGGTTATGCGCTGCGGGAACGAAAGCATTGTATACACTAAATTCTTACCCAAACTAAGCCGTTCATCTTAGAGAATGACATCGTTATTGTGTCCTCGTGTGCAAAGAATCCAGGTGCAAGTAAACCCCACGCCCCACAGACGCCATGAACCGGAAATGCTGATACTGGGTCGTCAATGTGCAAACGGTGTAACAGAGCCTCAGCCCCACAGGCTAACAACGCACCGATTGATCCAATGATAATGGATTCCCATGTGCCCGTCACGGCACAGATGGCTGCAAGAAGAGATATGTATTACACATATATGTATAACGCTTGTTGTGGTCATGAAAACAAGAACATTTCACTGTATAAATGAATCGTTCGTGTCTTAAGTGAGAATTCCTTGTTTGATTGTGTTTAGTTTTACAATGCTTTTAGCAATACCCCAGCAATATCATGGCGGGGACACCTGAAATGGCCTTACACATTCTACCCATGTGGGTAATCGAATCCTGTATCCCACCGCCCCTTGTTTAACTCCATGCTTGTCGAACTGCATCTCTACATGGATCACCGGGTCAAGGCATGCTTACTTGTCTGACTGTTTTCATCGTCCCCCAAGGCGTGAGGGGTGGATCACAATAACAATTACTGGTTTAGAAGTGGCAGTTTTATGATGAGCAAATATGTTTAGTAGACTTCAACGTCGTGTGTCAGTATTGCAAAGTTGAGATGGCTATTATTACTATATTATGAAGCTAGAGTGAGTGAGTCTAGTTTACGCCGCACTCAGCAATATTCCAGCTATATGGCGGCGGTCTGTAAATAATCGAGTCTAGACCAGACAATCCAGTGATCAACAGCATGAACATCAATCTACGCAATAGGGATACAATGACATGTATCAAGCAACTCAGCGATCCTGAACCGTTAGTCGCCTCTTACGACAAGCAAGGGTTACTGAAGATCAATTCTAACCAGGACCTTCATGTGTGTATGAAGCTAGAAGACCGGCAGTCAAGTTCGGGTATGTAGGTGTGTATAATTTATCGCCCACTGTTTCAACTGACTTGTGTCAGCTGTACCCAACATTTATTATGTATGTATTGATCGATAGAAATACAACATTAAAATACATACGACGTCGGTCTTAAATACGTGCGGTTCAATGTTTGCATTCAATGACAAATGAGAAATTAACAAGGACAACATATAGGTAAATATCAAGAAATTAGCTATGGCTGTTGTTGCTATGGAAATTAAGGGAGAGAGATTGTTAATATCTGTTTCACCAATGTGTACAGTTACAACTTATCTTTAATAAAAAAGAATAAGGACTAGACCAAAACGAATAATCTATACTTAAAACAAATATCACACACAACTCGTACATACACAAAATTATGCAAACACACATTCATACACACTTTTAAAGATACATTGTAGGAATCCTTGCCAAAAAGAAATCAGTTGAACATGGTTGATTTTTGACTTGTTGATGAATAAACATCGCCTTTACCGAAACACTGCACTGAAAGAATACAGTCAATGAAATCTATCAACTGTCTTCATTAACAGCTTCTAACATGCCATTTGAAGACAAGTTACAGTTCACAGTTGTACGTGCGTCACACGCGTCATATCGCATCACCGCATCCATACATGTACAAACCAATACGTTCCGCACCAAGTGATACCCACAGAACGAGTGCATTCCCGTATTATATTTTATTCATTTTCGTTGTCAACAAATACACATGTGTCTTTCTGCTGCCATTGAAAGCGTCGCTACGTCAATACAAAGGTTGTTAGTGTTTATTGTATGGTAATGTTGTTCCTGTAGTCTTCATCACAGTGCTGGGCATTTCTCTCTTTCCAGCTTACCAATAATATATAAAATTAACCTTTAAACGCTGCCATATCAATTAAAAGAAATTGTAAGGAATTAAATGTGCTTGTCTGTAAATGGAAGGAGTCAATGAGATGTTTAAAAATGTGTGCCTCATGTGTGGTTAAATGGGCGTGCATCTCGTGGATCAATCATATAATGCATATATAAAGTCAAATGTATAACCGTATCTCTTCGTATATAAATGTATAAGTGGATACATAAATTCATTGCATATATGTATGAATTTAATCTTATGATAGCAATACAGGCGATTTCCGTATTTCTCGGCTGCCGTCCTTGAACTTCACTAATTGTCAAACATCCTAGCGATTTAATGGACGTTGTTTTGTGTCAGTTCTTATTCTGTTTTGTTTCTTTCGTGATCAGAACCCCTCACTCATGCAGAGGACTGTACACATGTATACACGTATGATACATCCTTTGCGCGGAGTTATAATAAGTCACGGTAACCTCAATGCGGAAGTTTCAATAGTGACATTTTAGAGTTGAAATGAAAAGGATATGTGATGAATATTTCTTTGTTGTTTAACGCCACACTCAACAATATTCCAGCTGTATGACGGCGGTCTGTAAATAATCGAGTCATCACCAGACAATCCCGTGACTGACATAGCGAGTATCGAGCTACGCCATTGGGACACAATTACATACATCAACCAAGTCAGCGACCATGACCTCCCGATCCCGTTAGCTGCCTCTAACGACAAGCACGGGTTGCTGAAGACCAATTCTAACCCGGATCGTGAAAATGTGGAGCATATTTGGAACTTATGCATTGAACGTGAGTATTTCGAGTATATATAATATATAAGCATATATGTATTTCGTTCCTCTTTCGGATACAAAACAACCAATCGTCATCTGTCATTTTATATTAATTGCAACTCACCGGTTATTGACACTAAGGCACCCAATACTCCATTCACAATGTAGCCGATTTCAAAAACTCTCTTTTTGACGATGTAACTGAAAATAATTATTGTGATAATTTGTTACGCAAATATACCTCGCACAAAACCTGCCAAATATGATGGAAATGATTTGTCCCACAAAAGCAAGCATGTGCTTGTGAATCAATGATTTGGACAAAAGTCTTAGGAATATTATTTGGCTTTTAACAATATATCGCTGGAAAATCAGTTGTGTTCTCAACACATCATAGAAAGATTAGATCTGTTGTAAACATTCTAGCAGGATATTGTTTATGCTGTATAGACAACCGATAAACGTGGACGGCTTAACTACACCAGCGATATATGAAAAGCTTTCTGTTGCCGTGGAACTATCGATTCACTTTTAAGACATTATTTAGCAAGGTTATACATTACGCAGTATTATGTCTGGATAAAGATTCACCAGGAGGCATGAATAACGTGACATGTTGTGAGACAATCTATCTCTAACGATCGACTCTGGTCGTGGCACAAACAGCTCTAACAAAAAGAAGAAAAAATGACAAAAGGCTAAGTTACCTGGCGATGAATGCCGTTATTCCACCACCCGAGGCAGACATTAACGTAGTGGCTGCACTCCTGTAGAAATGATCAAATTAGTAAATTATTTGCCAACGTGTTTTATTACTTTATTTGTATTTGCTACTTCCTAATCGGCCAAATTCGATGTAGCGTGAAGTATTAGGACGACTGTATGGGATTAAACATTCTGGAGGGACCTTAACATGCCGATTTATTGTCCATGTCCACTTGGAATGCGTTAGACTCCACGCCAGATGGCATACTCATAGCGCTACATATTGGACTAGTTCACTAGTCATGGTATTTCTTGAAGAGCAGGGTCTTTAGGTCTGACTTGAAAACATCAAGACTTGGCGCTCGTTTCAACTCTTCTGGAAGAGAATTCAAGAGGATTGCAGCTCGGGAGATTGGGAAATCGTCTGAAGCCAAATCCTTTAAGTGGCCACTAAGGGACCATACAGTCGCCACTGAGGGACAATACAGAGAAAACTGAGTTACAGATTTTAGTGTTCAGGTTGGGTGATATTACGTAATCAGTTCAGAGACATGGTGGTGCTGTACCATATAGGCATTTATATGTGAATGTTAGTATTTTGAATTCTATCCTGGCTTGAATAGGAAACCAATGTAGAGTCCTTAAACCTGGCATTTATGGTCAGTAAACACCCCATCTGTCATTTATTTGGTATAAGTGTTATTACGTGGTGTATAGAAGGTTTCTGTTAAAAGGTTAGATCTGGAAACTCAAGACATTTCTCTTGGATATGATTTTGGTTCACAGCACTCCATGGGTTTATATACCCGGTTATTAAAACTTAACTATGGGATAAGTCGTGTCCATGTTTTACGTCACGCACTTGCATCACAATTGCTACGGTAAATTTACAAACATACAGGTGTCTCGAAATCGTATTTTAAACGAGTATTCAGTGATGGAATACTGCTGGCACACCATCAAGGATAAAACACACTGATTATAACAAACAGGAAGGAGTATCCACTGTATTGAAAACTTGTTGGTTACCTGGCAGCGATCTTCCATTTCCCATCACTTATGCCATATGTGCTCCCACAGTTAAAGGCAAGCCATCCCCACCTGAAAATATTTATATATTATGCATTACACCATTATGAAAGTAGACGGATGTTCCTGATCATAGCGCTTGTTTGCTTGGATGTACATAAAAATATCGTTTCAGCGACATGAAAGCAAAAAAGCACACGATCAGCCATACAGCTATATCGCGGGTATACAAAGTAATAGTTTGAACTTGGCAAACATGGACAGAACGATTGATCCTCCTGATTATACTCTTACGACTAGCAAAGCGCACAAAGCAGGTGCATAACCTTTCACGGATTCCGCACAGTAATTTTATTTGCCTATTAATAACATATTTTTTCTGTACACGTAGATGCACATAATGTTAATCCCGCAGAGAACGTTCCCTGTTATGACCGTTCAAAGCTATTTCGAGAAAGATTCTATTATTAATCTCAAGTGTATATGAATAATGTATACTAACCACAGCATGAATGTTCCTAACAAAGCATTGGTTGGGTTCCCCATTCGATGGTTGTCTTTGCTAGTGAATCTGTTCACTCTGGGTTTAATCATAACAGCCGCCACTAAGGCCGTGATGCCACCCACCAAATGAACAGGCCCGTCCCCCGCGACATCGACGACGTTCAGGTTCTTTAGGAACCCTGTCTCCGCCCACATCCAGTGAGCCGGGAAGCAATACACAAAGGTGTTGAGAAAGGAGAATATAATGTACGCTGTAAATTTGGTCCTTTCCGCCAAAGCTCCTGAAACAGTGAATGAGTGAATTGAGTTTAAATCCTCTTTGTATTTAAATTGAATTTATATCACGTGGAACGACAGCCAGAAGTGTTGACGTTTACCACATGTGAAACTCACGAACAAGGGTATGTGCTGACAAATTTTAAAAAGCAATCAGGGAGAACCGTGATTCTCACCTTCAGTCATAGTTTCTGAAGTGTCCAACGGACGCCACTCTACATGATGAACTGCGGCGTCCTCGAGGAATTTTTTTGTTCAGGTAAACTTACTACGGTCAGTTACAAGAGATTCAAGTCGCCTGTCAGAACCTGCAGGCAATAGTGCAATGATTTTGTACTTTCGGACAACTTCAAGATGCTTGGTCGATATCGTCATGAGATCATTTTTACTAATTTCAGTTTGTCATAGTTTTTGGCACGTTTTCAAGAACTGTTTGGAGAATGGCGTTAGAGTAATGCCATATTACCTCCCAAAGTGCATTTGATTGTACCACATATACCACCCTTCATTGAAAAACATATGCACTCCTCACAGCATAGCTTCTATCCTTTTTTCTTAATTCGCATACAACATTCTATCACTTGCCTGAAACAATTGTCGTGGCCGTTGTAGCAAATGACGCTTGAAATACGAACCGTGAGTACTCCTCGCCCATTACAGAGTCATCTGTCAAAACAAAAATAGTGAGTGAGTGGGTATGGTTTTCACCGCTTTTAGCAATATTCCAGCAATATTACGGCGGGGGACTCCAGAAATGGGCTTCACACATTGTACCCATGTGGGAAACCAATCCCGGGTTTTCAGCGTGACGAGCGGACGCTTTAACGATAGGCTACCCCGCCGCCCCTCAAAACAAAAATGATAGTTATGTGATAATAATGATATTGATGCTGCTGCTGACAACAAGATGTCAGTAGATGCCTGGCATTGGCACAGACACTGTAAGGACAGGAAACAAGGGGTCGATCCATTCATGACCCTCTTGGCCATGCTTTCCGTAATGACTCCTTATGGGTTTTGAGGTCCATCCAAGGTATGACCAAGAAATATATAGATGGGGCCATTGGAAATGATAAAACTAATAGAGGTAGAGTTTGTTTTGTGATATTACAATGTTTCCAAGTGTGAAGCTCAGGTACATGAGAATAACTGCCAAAACAGATATCTTAATAAGTAGTATGTATGTTCCTATCTCTGATCAACATAGAGATCCAGTGAGGGCACTGAACATAGACTGGACATTATTCTATGACAACATCGTACCAACAAAACAACAGATGTAGGACCCACCGAGGTTTTGTAAGACACTGAAAGACGAACAGTTATTAATGTAAATTTGCGGATGATCTCATGTCACAGTACCTGGATTCAGAAAGAAACGTCCAATACCACAAAAAGCATTCGTTCCCGGGTCTGTTCCAAAACTAAACCCATAGCCAAACATCCAGTAGGATATCCCTCCGAAAATAACGTCCGCAACGTTTTTGGCCATGACGTTAACTTCATTTTTACATCCAGCGAATCCACTCTCCAAGAGCCCAAATCCTGAAGAAAAATATAGTGCTTAAATAACTAATGTAGTTTTGTGCAGAGAGAGAGAGAGAGAGAGAGAGAGAGAGAGAGAGAGAGAGAGAGAGAGAGAGAGAGAGAGAGAGAGAGAGAGAGAGAGAGAGAGAGAGAGAGAGAGAGAGAGAGAGAGAGAGAGAGAGAGAGAGAGAGAGAGAGAGATTTTGGCCACATGCATGTTGTTGCATATCACCCATATAATTATACTCAACGAAATAATAAAACTCGACACTTGTGCATTATTATGATCATTATTATTATAGATGGAAATTATACAGCTATCATCCAGGTAACAATACAGACGATGAAAAGTGGGCTGTGACATATTTTATTGGAAAAATCACGCCCAGCTTTCCCTCATACCCAACGCAAACTCCACATTGTTAGAACTGTTCGCACAGAAGTCACCAACGAGAGTGACCTCGTAGGGCGACGTATGCACAACCTTTCTCGTCACAAAATGGCAGAAATATTGCCGAGGTGAGGGGTAACTCACTCACTCCTAGGGCGACGATGACGGCAACACAACGTCTCCTCGTGGACAGGAGAATTTGTGGAAACAGTCTAGCCGGAAGTCGTCGCCGCTGAAGGAGTGCTTGCCCAAGTACTTGCAAGGTCAGGGTTGATTCACCCATAACATGTCCAGTATATCAACACCGGTGTTAGGTAAGAACTAAAGTATGGGGCGTGGAAATGTCATGTTAAAATGTCAGTTCAACTCAAGTATAAAGCTGCATGAGAGACAAAAGGACGGGTCAAAACGTGGTGCGGTGCTGTATAGCATGCGCAGTACCATTCCCCTGGACGTCGATCAATTAAGATCGGCCGTTGGCACAAAATGCTCCCCAAACCATTCCGCTCTACCCCAAATCAAAGGAAATTAACGAAAACACCACTGTGTCTGCGGATCCATGGTAAACGCTGAGTACGACGAAATCGTTTAGCTCAATGCAGTGCGCATTCTATACCTGCTGGTTCCCCTATACCTCTGAACGACTGTCTGCTTGTGGAGGTTGCAATCACGATATTTGTTGTGCAGATGACGTAACCTGATTTGTACCTCATCTTTGCGTGACGTCACGCGCGGTGCCCCAAGCTTTGGGCGTAGTGTCTCTCAACTACAGACCAGGGTTCGTGCAACGGATTGTCAATTCAATTTATATATCGAAACTCCACCAACGGTGGTACATGAGAATGTAAAATTAGAATATTTATATAAATTAATATGTCAAGATGGACAAAAAATAAAAAAATGAAAGAATAACCACAAGTCTTTGTGGATACACATAGCAAGATTTTTGAGATTACGCGTTTGTTTAGACGTGATCAGTTTGTGACTTTCCTTAAGGAAATTAACTGAATTCAGGTAAGAAGGTAAATATGTTTGTCTATACAGTAGTAAAACTTCGCATTTGAACAGATTATGGAGTTCATCTCCCACTGCATGAGAGTTACATAAATTACACAGAGGATATTCTCTAGGAACATTTGTCCAACGACCAACGTCTACAGGTAAGTGGTGATCACCTGTTCCAACATTAAGTCTTCCCACGGCAAACTATTTTGTGATCTCGCCTTGATTAAACTTGCAATTTTCATACGTTTGCTTGCTTTGCAATATCTGCTTGCATTCTAATGGATGCACGTGATTGTTGTGTTACACTCTTTATGTCCATTTTTTTCACGTCAGTCGCCAGCTCTATGGACAAACAGTTTCATGCTATTGCCCGTTTTTTTGGCACGACTGGGGTTGCTTTGTTGTTTGGTTATTTTCGTCACCCACGTGATATGTAGATCAAAACATTACTCGTAGCTTGTCAATTAAATTGTGGATGAATGTCTTCAAATTCTATCGCCAAACCATGGTCATGCATAACACATAGTACATCTGTTAAAGTTTTCAAAGGCAGCAGGAAGAAACCATAGCAAACGAGTCGGTTGAGGTAACTGCTCTATTTGTGATGCTACATGTAAAGTCAAATCATTTTGTAGACATAATTAAACTGTACAAATGCACATAAACTTTAGGCTTTGTTTAATAAAACAGAAAGGTTTTCAATGGTTCCATATCCACCAGGAGGCTGGCGTACCCAGCATACAACATACCCAAAATACGCCCACAACACACTCATAACACACCCACAACACACTTACAACACACTCACAATACACCCACACCACTCTCATAACACACTCACAAAAACACTCATCACGAACCCACAGCACACTCACAATACATTTACAACACACCTACAGCACACCCACAGCACACTTACACCACACTCAGAACACATTCACAACACCCACAGCACACCTACAACACACTCACAGCACACTTACAACACACTTAGAACACTACTACAACACCATCACAGCACACTTACAACACACTCAGAACACTACTACAGCACACCCACAGTACACTCACAACACACTTACAACACACCTGAACACACCCACAGCACACCTACAACACACCTACAACACACTCACAACACACTTACAACACACTTAGAACACTACTACAACACACTCACAGCACACTTACAGCACACTCAGAACACTACTACAACACACCCACAACACACTTACAACACACCAGAACACACCCACAACACACCTACAACACACTCACAAAACACTCACAACACATTCACAACAACCTCACAGAACACCCACAACACACTCACAGCACATAAACAAAAAACCAACAGCACACCCACAACACACTCACAACACACCCACAACACACCTACAACACACCTACAACACACCCACAACACACGCACAACACACCCACAGCACATTTACAACTCACTTACAACACAAACACAGCACACCCACATCAAACCTACAACACACCTACAACACACCCACAACACACCCATAGCACACCCACAACACACCTACAACATACCTACAACACACCTACAACACACCCACAACACAACCACAACACACTCACAACACACCCACAGCACACTCACAACACACTCACAGCACACTTACAACACACCAACAGCACACTTATAACACACTCACAGCATACTTACAAGACACCTACAACACACTCACAGGACACTTACAACACACCCAAAGCAAACCCAAAGCACACTTACAACACAACTAGAAGACACCCACAGCACACTCACAACACACTCACAACACACCCACAGCACACCCACAACACACCTACAGCACACCCACACCACACCCACAACACACCTACAACACACCTACAACACACACACGAAAATCACAGCACACTTACAACACATCAACAACACACTCACAGGACACTTACAACACACTTCCAACACACTCACAGCACACTCACAGCACAATCACAGGACACCCACAGCACACGTACAACACACCTACAAAACACTCACAGCATACTTACAACACATCCACAGCACACTTACAACACACTAACAGCACACTTACAACGCACCTAAAAAACACCTACAGCACACTCACAACACACCTACAGCACACTCAGAGCACATTTACAACACACCCACAGCACACTGACAGCACACTTACAACACACCTACAACAAACTCACAGCTCACTCACAGGACACCTACAACACACCCAGAGCAAACAGACAGCACACTTACAATACACCTAGAAGACACTTACAGCACACTCACAGCACACCCACAACACACTCACAACACACTTACAACACACACACAGCACACCTACAACACATCTACAACACCCTAACAGCATAATTACAATACACATACAACACACTCACAGCACACTTACAATACACTCACAACACACTCACAGCACATTTACAACACACCCACAACACACACACACAGCATACTTACAACACACAACACACTCAAAGAACACTTACAACACACTTTCAACACACTCACAGCACAATCACAGGACACCCACAGCACACGTACAACACACTCACAGCACACTTACAACACACCCACATCACACTCACAGCACTTTTATAACTCACTTACAACACACCCACAACACACCCACAGCACACCCACAACACAACAACAGCACACCCACAACACACCCACAGCACACCCACAACACACCCACAGCACACCCACAACACACCAACAGCACACCCACAACACACCCATGGCACACTTACAACACACCTAGAATACACCAACAGCACACTTGCAACACACCTAGAACACAATGACAACACACCTACAACACACTCATAACACACTCACAGCACACCTACAACACACTCACAGCACACTCACATCACACCCACAACACACTCACAGCACACTTACAACACACTCACAGCACACCTACAACATACCTACAACACACCCACAACACACCCACAACACACTCACAACACACCCACAGCACACTCACAACACACTCACAGCACACTTACAACACACCTACAACACACCCAGAGCACACTACAACATACAACACACCCACAGCACACTCACAGCACACTTACAACACACCTACAACACACCCACAGCACATTGACAACACACCTACAACACACTCACAGCACACTGACAACATACCCACAGCACACTCACAGCACACTTACAACACACCTACAACACACCCAAAGCAAACCAGAGCACACTTACAACACACCTAGAAGACACTCACAGCACACTCACAGCACACTCACAACACACTCACAACACACACACAGTACACCTACAACACACAAACAGCACACCTACAGCAGACGCACAGCACACCCACAACACACCCACAACACACCCACAAAAAAATCACAGCACACTTACAACATATCTACAAAACACTCACAGGACATTTACAATACACCTACAACACACCTACATCATGCTTACAATACACCCACAGCACACTTACAACACACTTACAACATACTCACAGCATAATTACAATACACCTACAACACACTCACAGCACACTTACAATACACCCACAACACACTCACAGCACATTTACAACACACCCAC